TTGGCAATTTTCCAAGCCATAATTTTTTCCCTTGAGAACTACCAAAGTGTCAAAAAAATCCCTAACATTCACTCTTGGAATGAATTCATTTCGGCAGAATCTTCTGAAGGTCACCAATTCATTTCCATTAAAAAGAGAGCTGGAGGCAACACTCTCCATGCAAGTACTGTTTGCCTGTTCAGAACTGGGACAAGAACCATGGTGCCCCAAACCTAATGGCTTACGGGTCCAGTAACCACTGAATTATTCATACTGCAGTTAGGACAGTCATCTGTCTTATGCAGTTCAGGCCAGGACTGGAATATGGAGCTCCCACAGCCTAACCTAGTATCACTGACGTGGGGTGGGGAGGAAGCAGTCTCAGTATCCTTCTGACAGAAAACAAATGTATGTCAAAGCCTGTTGTTTTCCACAAACCAGAATTATCTCACTTCCAGCCCCAGGGATGACACAGCAACTGACGTACAAAGGAACCTTTCTCCCAACAGAGAACTTTATTATAATTGAAATAGCTCATCTGCCAAAACCCAACAAACACTCAACAACTTTTCTATGAGTTCTTGTAGTGAGTATTCACAGTGAGTTCAGGAGCAATGACCTCAGCAGGAGGTGCTCACTCAGAAGCTAACTGATGATACAAGCCAGCCAATTGATTTTGAACTGCCAAAAAAACATCAAGAAGAAACTGTAGTATCTTCACCTAAACAAGCCTGTTGTGTGAAATTAGTTATACAATCAATCCTCTACTTCTGATGGTCTTGCTTTTACTTTTTCTGCCTCTTGTTGTTTTCTTTCTACTGCATTCCTTAGATGTCCTGCTTTCAGCTGGGATAGAGTTAATTTCTTCCTAGTAGCTGGCATAGTGCTGTGTTTTGGATTTAGTATGAGAATAATGTTGATAACACACTGATGGTTTAGTTGTTGCTAAGTACTGCTTTATGCTAGTCAAGGACTTTTTTCAGCTTCCCATGCTCTGCCAGGTGCACAAGAAACTGGGACAGGGCACAGCCAAGATAGTTCACTGCAGTTCTTTTCTCCATTCTAGAAACACTCATCTAGATGCTTTTTCTATTTCTGTTGCCTGCCATCTCACACCAGGTTTGACAAGCAGCAACAGCTCCTGACCCAGTGACAGCAGGGGAGGGGCTGCACCAGTGTGGATTGGGGCATTTTGCGGGGACCTGAAGCTAAGTGGGCACTGGAGCTATGGATGGGGAAGGGTGTAGGAGCTGTAGACAGTTGCAGGCTTGGCGATAGTAGTCAGCCTACAGACCCCCCACAATTATAAGCTATATTTCCAGAAAGTGAGGATTTAGTTTCTTTTCCCCTATTTTTTCATTCCTGAGTCTTATGGATATATTCAGATTGTATTTCATTATCTTCTTTACACCCCTGCAGGCTGGAAAATTCATAAAAGCAGAGCTACGCTGGCAGCCACGCTGTTTCAGGTACTGAGCTTTTATAATGACCCAAAGTATTGAGGAAATCACAGTGATAGGTGTGAAAACAGTGATACTGACACGGCTGGAAGAGCAGGATGTTTTCATTATCCTGTGAGTTACATCTAGCTTTCTGAAAGGGCAAATCATGAAGTGGCTTTCTTGCTAATGGTGTCCAGACAGGCTCCTAGGAAGAGCTGTAAAGAAACCAGTGGTTGCAGACTGGGCAAAAAGCATAAAAATGTTACATATTACTTTTCAAACACATCACAGGAGGCAGCCAGTTACAGGTGCCATGAAGCCAATCAATGATTAGACTCTAACAAGCTAGAGAAGTCAAGTCACATCAGAAAAACTAAATGTATTCACCATGGAAAAGCTTGGGAAGGTTCCCATTTCAGAAGCCTTCTTTATGTGGGAGTCCAAGGTATCTTAACCTGAAGTATTTGTAAAAAAGATTATGAAACAAATACACAAAGCAAATAATAACAAATTGCTAAGCCAGACGTTCTAGAGGAACACAAGGATTAAGCAGCTGAACTGCTGAGTACAGAGCACAGGTTCTTGTTTAAACTGCCACGTAACTGAGAAGTGATATAAATGATGCTAATTTTTTAATGGTTCAAGAGGAGATCCAAGGAAACACAGACCAGTGAGATGGCCAGTAGTACCAAGTAGATTACCATAAACTATAACAAAGAGTCTGAAATTTTGTGGAAAACAATCAAAAAGGGATTTGAAAAGTCTTGCCTCACCAACCTGCTGGAATTCCTTGAAGGTGCCAACAGTCTTGTAGATAAAAAAGGTCCACTTGATGCCTGGATTTTTACAAGGCATTTCACAAGGTCCAAGGCTGGCTCTTAAGACAGTAAGGAACCCAGAGGGTAAAAAGAAAATTTCTTGTGTGGATAAATCATTGTTTAGGAAGGCAGATGACAGAAGGTGGGAGTAAACAGTGACTTTTTTTCCACAGTAGAAAGATTCACCACTAGCATTTCATAGGGATCTGCATGAGGACTCAGGATATTCAATACATGATTTCGAAAAGACATACAGAGTGAAGTGACAAACGTTCCTAAGTTATCCACGTAAATAAAAAGAAAGGCAAACAGTAGACTGGCAAAAGGACTTCATGAGACATCAGTGCCCAGACAATAAGATGGCAGACAAGATTTTATGAAGATAAATATGAAGTAATACGAAGTAAGGCATATGGAAGAAACGATGTATGAATGGTTATGTAAAATGACAGGCTCTGAGCTCAAACTCAGTAGATGAGCTGGTTTATAAGAGCTAGTTCCAATTAATACCAATTGTTATAGCCAAAAAAGCAGAGTACTAGAAATAACTAGGAAAGGGCCAGAGAACAGAAAATAGAGAACACAACTAAAAAACAAACATCACTTTGTCATGTGTAAATCCACGATATGCCTATATCTTGAATATTGTATGCTAGGTTGGTATCTCCAAGTCTGAAAGGATATAGTAGAAAAGGAAAAGAGGTCAGAAAAGCTATGGTATAGGGACTGATTAAGCAGCTTATAAAGTCTTCCGTCTGGAAAAAACATGACTGAGGAAGAGTATCACAGATATCCATAAAATCATCAGTGGCATGGAGGCAGTGAAGAGAGAACAACTGGCTACCGTATCTTCTGATCCAGTAGGATGAAGCAAAAGAAGTCAGGACATGGCAAGTTCAAAGCAAATGAAAGCAAGCAGCTCTTCACACCAATGTCAAATGAGACCAGATGAAAAAGCTGAACACAACCGTATGGACCTTGGATCTGACTTGGTACAGCTGCTCTTATGCTCTAAAATATTACATATTCCTGGAAATTACTTCAAGTTCCAGAGACTGCATAAGGGTCCTGCTGCTACTTTTTACAATAAAAAGCAGCTTACCTGGTGCAGAAGCTTCTTTTATCTACATGTTCTCTTCCTCTTCCTTCTCTGTTAGCGCTTCTGTTGCTGTTTCACAGCCAAATCTATTTCACGGAGCGCTCACACACAAAAACCCAAAAGCTAGATCTCTGATGGCAGCCTCCTTGCAGCATCTTGTCAACTGGTCAGCAGAAGCATCTGTTGCCTCCATTCTTACAAAAGGATGTTCTCCCCAACTCTGTCCCACCATTACCGTCTTTTGCTGTCTTCAAGACACTTTTAAGCTCAGTGGTTAGGCTCAGCAAGTTGCTTGGAGATGTCACATCTGTATGCTTCTTCAGTTCTTGAGTAATTCCGGTTCATTGCACCATGTTATCAAATCCCAAATAGCACCTTCTGCTCACCTAGTAGTACCTACAGAAGAGGCCCTTCAAGTCTGGGATGTTATCAAGAGACATCCAGAAGTTCCCACACATGCTGACTACTCTGAGGATGGCAAGTAAGCTGCACAATGCATACAGTGACACCTCATAGTGGCTTTGAGCCAAGCAGACTATACAGAATACAGAAAGTAGCCCACATTAACTACCCCAGCAATGCCCAGTTTTCCCCAAGACAGCAATAGGACTACAGTTAGCACCTGCTTTCATATATCTAGTGATATTCAGCTTACTGAGATTGGAACTGGGACTTGCTTATTATTAAGGCCTCCTAAAGCACACAGTACCTGAAATATTATTTAACATAACCACTAAATGAAATAATTTTGTGAGTGGATGCAAGCAGCAAAATAAGCAACTGGGAGAGTAAGAGGCACTTTAACATAGTGAATTTCTTGAGGCCATTCAATGGCTTTCATGTTCATCCTAAAACACGGATCCAGAAATACACATATGAATAGGTTTTGCCCCATTCTTTAACCTTGAGTAACAGATGCATACCTGCCTTTGGCTCAGGTGGCTGGCAGGACAGAGATTTGCAATGTTTATGTCTAGGGGTGACTGTAGCAAATGTATTTGTTACAGGTCAGTGACACCTTTCTGTACATTTTGATTATAGATAAAACATGTTAAAAGGCAGTTTCTCCAGCAATGGCTAGCAGTTAACACTGGTGGTTAGGATAGGCGTATTCCAAAGAAACCAACTATAGACAATCTTACAAAAATATTAACTATACAAAATAACTAAATACATACATACATAAATACATAATTAACATAGCTATCTAAGCCAGTATACTAAGTTGTAAACTTTTAATATATTTAATCTACTCAATCACACTAAAGACAATTGCCTCCTATAAAAAGTATGCAAAAGTAAATTAGGTATCATACAGAAATGCACCTCCCACTGCTGATATATATATACACACACTATATACAGTATACTGTATACTATAGTTTGCTATACTTGCATCTATTTTCTGTGTTTAGTAGAAATTAAAAAAAAACAAGAATCTTACACTTATTTCAGATAGTACTGAAGTGTGTATAAAAATCTTACAGATATCTCTACCTTTTTACCTTGAAATCTTCTCTACAGTCTCAGCAAAAGACATAGACACGCATCAATCATTAACCCAGAAAGCAGTTAACTGGCTTGTCTGTCACATTCTGTCTTCTAGCCAGTATTAATTAAAAGTATCCATACATTTTTCAATTCATTTCAGGTGCTACTTACACTGAGAATGACCTGGAGGTCGTGTGTTACTAACACTGCTCTCAAAGGAAGAGTGGAAGTTGTGTATGGTTTCTTGTAAAATCTGTCTCTCTCGTCCCTGTAAAAGCACAATAAATTAAAATAAGGTATTCTTAAATTTCTGTTTAAAAAAAGAATTTATTAAGAGTTCACAAAAAAAAAAGAAGTGTAAATATGTGTGTCTATGCCCAGAGAGTCATAGTGTACTATTAGGAATAATAACAAATCCTTACCTCCCAGATACATAGAAAACCTTGTAGTAATCTTTTCCTTAAACTACCAGACAGCAATAGAAACATTTTCATTATTTTCTTCATAACTTTATAGCATGGAGCATCGTCCACCTCCCCTAATTTTTTAGCCTCGTTACTTGCTGCTGTTGATCTTAACTTGGGGAAATTATGTTTTGTTTATCCGAGCTTCCAGTATCAGAGAGAGAATGGACCTCAGAACTGAAAAAGCAGCTGAGAAGTGTCAGTAGGCCTAATTAAAGAGATGCTCCAGTCCATAATCCCTCTGACAAGAACATTGCTTACTGTACACCATTCTTAGCAAATTTATTTATGTCAATATAAAATTAAAAGGCAACAAAAGTGTAAGGAATGAGAGAAGTGCTATTTACCTAATCACAGAGAAATCAAAAACTGTTAGGCAAAACAAAGGAGACCTTTCCTTTTACGTTATATTCTCCAGCTGGACTATAGTGGCCAGATGATTCTTTTTCGCATCACTGAAATCAATATTCAGTAACTGCAATATTGCCAATATTTATGTTACCAGTAGCTTCTGATATAACATCCAATACTCTGTAAAAGAACTGTACAGTCACTGAACTAGGAAGGAGTTAATGAAAGAGAACAGGGAGTACCACAAAGGAAAATATTTTTCACTAATCAAATACATTAAATATTTTGTTTGGAAAACATTCATTTGGCTTTTCTAACTAACATCTGCAACTGAATTTTGAAATGTATGTTGAATTAACAATATAAGCAAACCTTGAATTAATTTACTAAGTGCAGTATTTCAAAATGTACCTTTCCTGCATTCAGTTCAGAAATAGCTGCCAAAATTTGCTGCCTTGATCCATCGGTTTTAATACCCAGCTCTTTCAGATCACCATCAGTAAGTGTAAGGAAGGCTTCCATATCCACCTGCATGTGAAAAAAAAAGAAAAAAAAAAGAAAAAAAGACAAGACAAATTTACCTAGGCAAAGATTCACTATTACATGTTTAAAGTGTTTGGTTTTTTTAATTGTATACTTAGTGCAAATATTGTACACACAAAATTTTTTAATGAATTACCAGCATCAAATGGTACCCACTTTACCACTCCATTGTCAGGTTTTAAATCTGCTGTTAATAACTCAATTCATTATGATAGTATATTTAAAATATTAATGGATTTTTAATTTTTTTTCAGACAAGCACTATCAACACAAAATACATACTCTCTACAAAAATTCCTCTACTTACAGCAGCAGCCAGCTGAATAAGCCTAAGATTTCTCTCTTTTCCCTTCTTCCTCCTCCCCACCCTGCCCTGGTATTTTTGGAATTTCAGAATATTGTGTGCACTTTTCCAGTGTCTCCTGAGGAAAACCTAGGGTTTGTTCATATATCAGTTTTTATTATATCAACACATCCATCAGACTGTGATAAGAACAAACATCTAAAACTTTTCATATTGGTCTAATCTTCACACACATAGAGCACATTCATTTCTACAAAATGCTCCCTTCCCTATCATGTAGAGGAACAATAGTAAGCCCAGTGCATTGCGATGCAGCTAAATAATCTGTGTTTGTGGTGCTGAATCCTGAGCTCTGCAGCTATGTCAATTTACTGTATGTCTATTCACTACTGTCTGCCTTTGGCCAAACACGCAATTATCGCTCACACCTGATACTGTCTTAAACATTGCAATAAATTAATTTTACTTATTTTCAGCAATGTTTCCTTCCATTGCATCCTTTCATTGCCTGAAAGGCAAGTCACTGCCACAGGCCTCATCTACAATGATGCTTAGGTTCCCCAATTTAATTCTCTTGTTGCTTATTCACAGCAGATAAAGAAGAGAAAGGAGCCACCTCAGTGACTCACATGCTGCTGTTCTCCATCTGCAAATGAGGTTCCAGCTGTGATTCCAGGGATGATACAGTATGTCCTATAAACTGTTTAGCCACATTGGATATAGACATATCTAGAAAAAGCAGAGTGTAAAAACAGAGAGGGGAAAAAAAAGTCTGACGCACCTATCTATACCAAAGTTGTAGGTTCAGTGTAAAAAGCACTGATATTTGCAGTATCCTGGAGAATGCCACGAATACTGCTTGGTCCCCATTTCAAGGTCCTCTCTGCAACCTGAAATGGTTGTGAAACTTCAAATTTGAGATTCTGGATCACAATTCTGATGCAATGTGTGTTGCACCCTACTTTGTCTAAAACAGTAAAAATACATCTTTTAAAAGAGACGTACCTCTTGTTCTTCAAAAATAGGCTGATATTTCTCAAGTGACAATTTTTTAAGGATGCCAGTCAGCTCATCTGCCATAACAGAAAAGAAAACACCCCCCCATGGATCAGGAAAGATTTTAGTGATGTCTCCGTCATTAACTGATGAAAATATGTATTAAAACATATATTCCACACAGTGATACATGATAATAAAAAACCGATCACATTTACTCTACATCAGAAATTAAGATATTGGCTTACTGTGTTGGCACCTACTCCCATATACTCTAATTCCATCTAGTCTTACCTTGCTAGGATAAAATCTTTCTGTTGTACCACCTTTCTTCCTCATTAAAAGGATCTTAAAAAACAAATCCACTATGGACAACTGGGGCACTTCCGTGTCTAAAACACAGGTGCTTGGCCCCAGATGGCTGACCCAGATCATGCAGGTTAGACAGCAAAACTCCTCAAGCAGGCAATGAACTAAAATGGCGTATTTCCATGTCATGATCCAGGAAAGCAAAGTGTAGAGCAAGCAACCACCCAGTTGCTCATTCAAAACACTGATACAACAAGGGTGTATCTGAACCTCTTCTCCTTACATGCCTGACATCCAGGCATATTGAATACAGATAGATGAAGTCCAGCTAAGATGAAACCTGGGCAGAATTTAAGTTTTATAAGCTTACCTTCTAAGGCTAACAGCACTTGATATTGGGTTTCCTCTCAAAGTCTAAGAAAATCAAAAGTTGGAGGACCTGATAGTGACTCTTCCCACACATTTAAAATGTGATTAGCCAGTTAAAAAGCGTTAAGTGCAGTTTTAGAATAACCCACCATTACCTCTCTTAGTTACACACTACCTCTCTCAACTAAGGATTCTGTTTATTTTTATCGCTTTGCTGTCACAAGTGACTAATTTTTTTTCCCCCCAGAAGTACCAAAGTGGTCAGTTAAACTAAGGAGTCAAAGTCAAAATGAAGAGTGTGAATGATTACATCACACAACCAAACTTACTTAATATTCCCCATAAAAACTCACTTCCATTGTAAAGACATCACTATTCCTATACTTTGCCTTTTTTTTTTTAACTATTTTGTCTTTTGACTGTCCCTTTTCTTTCATCATCAGTAGAAACATGAAAGAGAATCGCACTCTCTGAGCTTCTCAAAAGACATTAAGTATCTTGAGAACGACACACTTTTCTATGCACCATTCTGGAAGCCTCCTTCTTTACATCGAAAAGCCCACAGAAAAATTAATTGAAAAATTCTAGTTGAGACTTATTTTCTGCTAGGATTTTGGTTTTTTACCTCAAGGCCAGTTAATTTGGTATGCTTTGTAAAGGCTGGCATGGTTTCAGGCTAAAAGCTTTAGTACCCTAACTAAGGTTAATCCATCAGAAAAGGTAACCAGCTTTAAAAACACAGCACAAGAACTTCTCTATGCAGTTTGATGAAAAATAGCACCTTAGAGCAAGAAAATAAAATTTTCATTAGAAGCCTTTAGATATATTATTAAACTTTTTTTCTTTTAGGTTATTAGTTAGCCTTCTCATTTTTCATCACACTGGTGTGCTTAAATTATAGGTTGTGATATGGGAAGAAACTTTTGGGGTCTTTGAGCCCAGAGCCTTGCTGTCATAAACAACTATAACATCTAACACTTTTCACACACACAGACAATGCTTTCAGCTGTAGGCCTTTCATGTTTTCTTTTCCTCGTTCCCTCTTCCAGTTCCTGTATTATACATTAAGTTTGAAGAAAACCTGAAACCTCTCAGTTTTACAGCTCTTGCGGAACACATTGTTGCTCCTTCGCTTTTTCACTAAGTCTTCCTTTTGCTCTACCTTGTCTCCTTACCCACATCCCTGGAGCAAGCAAAGGTTCTCAGGGCTCTTACTACTTCTGCCACATCACTCCCATTACCACCTCTTTTGTACTATGCTGTAGTAGTAGGGTAAGATTACCTTTCTCCAAGTTTTCAGAGCCTCCTTTTACTCTCATGTGGTTTCGTCTTTCATGATTCTCTACATCACTGGTTCTCAGAATAGGGACAAGCTGTTGATGGTCCACCAAATGGTTGCCTAAAAAGAATACAGTAATATTCACTGCAAATCAATTTTCTATTTCATTTAAGTCTGCTTGAAAGAAAAAGAAAAGTTAACATTGCAGGCCTTCTGTACTTAGTTTTTCCCGTTACTGCTGGGCCTATGAGCATTTGTACTGTTGCTGCTGAATCAAATCACAGTAAGAGAAGCCCCTGAATTAAAGGGCCACTCAACTACGAAAGCTTACAAGCACAATGAACCCAGAACTACTTAGGCTTCTTACAACCTACCCCTCTGCTACAGAGGAAACTCACTGTATCATGGCACTAGTGGTGCAGTCACAAAGTCCGGCTTCACCCTGTGGGATTAGAACAGCTGACAGCTTGTTATCTGACAGCAAGTTCTCTTCCCTTTACGTATTTCTAAACCAACGACTCTTATGTTATCAAGCCATTATTATAAAGATGGCACTAACTAAAATGTGAAAGGATTTTCTCCAGCAGTCAGTACAATATGTTACAGCTAAGCCATGGTAAGAGGACAGAAAGCGGGTCAAATATCACCTCTCTTTAGTGTCAAATGGAAGTACAGTGTCAATGAACAAAGTTAGCATAAATGAAAACAAAACAAACTCAATATGGACACTTTCAAAAAAATCCAAAAATAGTAAAAAGTGTCTCCTGCAGAAACAGATAAAAGGTGCCTCCATTTTGTACTTAGAAGATTGAGTCACGTTATTTTTTTCACTTTTTTTGAGATGTTTACAGAAAAAAACAAAGTAATTGATATCCTGTTTCCAATGCAGTAACATGGCTTTTTAAAATAAAGTGGTGTAATTTAGACTTAAAAGTTCAACTTAAAAGGCAGTAATCTTATTGGAAAAGTAATAATATTATTATCCTTTCTTATGAGCTAAAGTTAAAAATAAGGTCAAAATAAGGCTATTTTTGCAATTTAAAAAAATAAACGCAATACAGCTCTTAAAAATCAATTGCATGTAGCTATGACTTGCCATGAATCAAAATTGTATTTCTGTAGTGATGTGCTCCTCTGCATTTATTAAAAAAAAAAAAAAATCATTTTGAATGTGGAGAAAGTGCATTTTCTACCCCCAGCAAAGGCTGAAAAACAGGATTTAAGCCAGAAAGGGGGGAAGGAAGTAGGCCACGTAAGAGTGGCCTACCTACATGTTCTATGGTAGCTTTAAGATGGTACCAATCTCCCTCTAAATATAAGGGATCACAGCTTTTGGGAGAGAAATAGCCAGTTACTGCATGAATGCCAATCTCGCAGTAAGAAACACCAAAATATTTTTTCTAGAAAGTTCTCACTCTCATGCAGATACACACTAATCCACTACAGTTATAGCTGTAAACACTTTGTGCTCTTGATGAATGCATCTCCTGTAATTACAGTGACCTACTCACCATCTTCAGTAATAGTACCACTGCTGGAACCATTGCTCTTGGCCTGTCTGTGAGAAGAAGAGAGAGAAGACTCTGCGTTGTGAACCTTAGGAGATGGGGAGGGTGATGGGGAAGGTGTGAGAGTTGGTGATGTGCTTTTAGATGTAGACGAGGTCCCAGATGGAGGTCTTTTGTTCATCTCCACTTTTTGCTGTAGTTAATGATACAATCATTTCAGTTTAAAAAAAAAAAAAAAAGCAGCATTTACCTATATATGATGCTTGACTATTACTTAAGTTGCATGTCATTTCTGCAGAACATGTAGTCACAACTAGAAACTTCTGCTTGATTCATATTGAAATAATTGGAGCAACACTGATTTATCCCAGGTGAGAGTCTGTCCCCTCAAATTAATCAAGCAAAATACATTTATTAAGGCTGTAGTTTTGGAATAAGAAAATGATTTCTTATAAAGCAATACTATATACAAGAACCTCAATTATTCTTTTTATAAAAGCTGAAATTACTTTGACTCTGAAAACAGGGCTTTTTCATTCAGAGATTTAATTAAATAAAGGCTCAATTAAAGCCTTTCCAAGTATACCAGACGCTAATTTAAAGTAGCACTTCATGCTGGATTAACCAGAAATATGTAGCAAGCATAAACTAAGTTTTGGGTGCATTTAAACCCCTTGCTGCACTGGAATGAAAGTTTCCAGTCAACCCTTAAACTTGTTATTACCTAACATGAGTCAAATGATTAGAATTCATTAAATATTTTGCAAACATTTAATACATTTGGAGGCATGGAAAACATGAAAATAGACAAATTAAAATGAGGAATAACTATATAGGTATGTATATCAGTCTTTTCCAAAACAAGTTAATGTACCTCATCTCCTAAATTCCTCAATCTATGTATCACTCCACACATTTCGATGTTTGCATTATATGACCTAAAAAGAATTCTTAGGTGATTTTCTCCTGGATGCCTGAAATCAAGAGTTTAACTTAAAATACCTTTTGTCAGTCAGGCTGCTACAAGAAAAATGTAAGAAAATAGCTGAGCTGGGTAACAAGGTGAGAAGGGAGAATGACAGTGGTTCCCGCCTCTCTACAATTTTGCTTCTGTGCTATGGCATAAATGGAACTTTTCTAGTTAATGAAAGAGGTGCAGATTAAATAGATAAAACTGATTTCAGTGGTAACATTCCCCCATTACTCTATCCCATGCCAGAATGCACTAGCTCCTTAGCTCTGCATTGAATTGACTAGAAGTAATGTAGCATGATAAAAATTTGAGAGGTCTCTGAAGGGCATCGTGAACTCATTTCAATTTTTTGTCCCAAATTTCCCTGTATTCTGTTATTGGCCATGTGTGTTTCAGAATGGTCTTCCCTCTCTAGCGCACTGACTGCATTTATTTAAGTTACATCACCCTGTAAATGGTTATTCCGTTTTTCTTTTCCTTTCTTTAAGGCTTGTACAATCCCATCCCTCATGGGTAACTTCCGCAAAATTGATCAGTGTAACATCGCTGCATTTTTAGATCACTTCCAACTGTAGACAACATGATCCTAATGGGAGGGCACAAGCACTTCCACAATAGATATAGATATTAAATTTTCAGCATTTATGTTGTTGATTACAACAACAAAGTAGGCTGTTTAAGCTTTTGTAGCCAGTGTGGATCCATATGTGATTGTGTACACCCAACAGACCCTGGTGTCCTAAGAATCACCTCAGATGTGTGATACATGAACATCTATAGCGAGATCCACACTGATTACATGTTTTGTTATTGATGGATAGACTTAAATTCTTCTAGACATCTAAGCAAAGAGCACTGAAAAGAGCTGTTGCCTTTCTAACATACCGGCATAATTTTTTATCTAAAAATCTTTTCAACAGTATGATGAACTGCCTTCCTAGAAGATGATCTGCAGGGCATTGCACCTCACTACTTCTTTATCTTCTAATGTCTTCCACTGTGAGTGGGAATAATAGTTAAACTTCTTAGTGGCAGCATTGTTGTAACAACAGGCCCCAAGATCTGCAGCCCAAAGCTCACAGGCACGGGTATTATCTCTTAACAGGCTAACTAATATAACTGGAGAAAAAAAGAGATTTTTCGGGGGCACACAAGCAGCTCTTCTGAAATTATTTCCAAAAACAAGCTGAGAGGAACTGCTGAGAGCTGAGAGTCAGACCACCTCTGAAAGAAAAAGCATTTGGTAGCTGTTCAGTAGAGGAGACTTTAATGAGGGAAGAGGATAATAAAGTGGCTTCATCTACAGGAAAGAGAGAGACAGATCATTTTTAATCCAGGGAGCAGTTACGCAGGATAGAAAGGGACGAAAGATTATCATGTGCCAAAGAATCAGTATGAGTCCATAGCTTTTGGGGGTCCAGCAGAGTTATAGATTTTAGCTCCCAATCTCATCTTTGAAAAGCAACCAGTAGTCCCTTCAGAATCAGGACTGAGAGATCAGAGACAAAGTGACTATCATGGAAACTGTTTTGGCATTGGTAGTTGCACGATTTTCTTCTTCTGATTTTTGTCCTCCAGAAATTTCAATTAAATCACTGAATACCTCTGTACCTTCATTTATCATTGATATTTACTAATTAAATATACATAATGCTTACTGTTGCCATATAAGACATCACAGAATGAGATATCAAATGTAGCAATTTTATGCTGTGGCCATTTTTGTTTCTTTGGGCAAAACTTCAAGAAGAATCTCATGAAAAGACGCAAAGAAAACAAGACAAAGTGAAACGAGCTGTCTGGAGATTACACAAGCAAAAAGTTGAGAAATTTTGCTCTTGGTCATGTATTCTAACATTTTCAGAATACCAGACATTAGAACTAAAACCTCAAATTATGTGCTTTTTCTTGCTCTCTGAAACATAATGTTTCCCTGCGTGAATAAACCCATACATTTCACAACAGTGTATCACATCTTCTGTTACGACTCTGCTTTCTAACTTGTGTCGCTGCAGATTCTGAAGATTTAAAATCTTAATCCTCAAAAATTTTGTACAAAGCAGTTGTTAACTTCAAAGTACATGCACAAAAATGGGCAGGTCATGAGGGTAAAGCTATTCCAGGAAATCGATAGGTAAGTCAGTGCAGATAATACGGCCTGCACTCAGAAGCAAAACCTGACTTTGGTGATGACAACTTAATGTTCATACTGTTTAAAAATAACACCTTGTGGAGCAGACTGGATAAACGCATATTGCTGTGGTTGGCAGATCCTGGTACAAATTATCTCATGTTCTGCACTCAGGTTGCACCTTTGGAGGGAAACTAGCTATACCACTTCAGAGTAAAAGCCCAGGACTAACAAACAGAAAACACTGGACTCAATCAGGGCCATAGAAAGAAATTATGAGAAAACAAAGTAACAACGCAGATCTACCCTAAGATCAAGTATTACATTTACTGTTTTTAAAATACAGTGAAATTAATAATAAAGCAAAATCAGGTTTTATTATTAGGTCTGATCTTTTATAGACTTGTAATTAAAAGGAAGGTTTGTGGAGCTGAAAGGTTTCCACTACTGTAACAGGTGTTCATTCATTTTAGGCTGTGCAATGTCAAGCAGTTGTATTTATCAACCATCCATGACTGAGACACGACCTATTAAAATTAGCCAATTTGGACGTACAAAAAATTACATTTCTCTGTACCTTTACAACATGTCCGTTGCCAACAATTTGAGCACATTGCAAATCAGACAGAGTGGATGAAGGAGTTGACTGGACTGGACTATGCTGCTGGCTGGGTTTCTGTTCAGGTAAGCCTGCTGCTTTTCTTCTTTGGGCTGCAATCTGAGACAAAACATTATCCGCACTGCCACCTAAAAAAAATACAAAATCAAAACAGAGTCAAGGAAACTATCATTTTAAGATATTTGTTATTTCTCAATTCACCTCTCTCTACCACTGACTTTCTTTTAAAAACTGACTGCATGAAGTAAGAGAGAGAGAATTATAAGGTTCAGACCTGTTCAGCAGCTTTCAGGAAAGGGAACAAAAATCAGCTGCAGGAGAAGAGAGAAGCCAGCCCTGTCTATACACACACAGAGCTGACATTCATACTCTTGGTTATAGGTTTCATGAGCTGCTTCACCAAGCTGCCAGAATCAATGCTTGCAGCTTTGTTCTTAATTGAAAACAGATATTTTTTTTAAACAAAAAGCAAGCAACACAGCTAAGAGACAGCTCTATGAAATGTATGTTGCAATGAACAAGCATCCACTTGATCCATTGTGGGTGGACTCAGTAAAATCAACATGTTTTTTCTAAGACAGAGGCTAACCTATGAGACTTCTACAATAGACGTGAGGCTTTTGTTCCCTTATGTAGGTGTCCAAAGTCCAATCCTGTTCCAAGAAAATTTATAGAAGTTTTGCTTATACAGCAGTAGGAGCACTCAGAAAAGGTTTAATATCTTCTACCATGATCACAAACAGTAATTTTTTAGCTGAATCAGATACAAATTACTTTCTTATTAATAAAAGCAGCATGGTACCTGATCTGTTATGCAGTTCTCCTCCATGCCTGTTAATTCCTGCAATGTTATTGGATCCACCAGAAGAATGGGGAGAATGGTTGAAGTTGTTGGAATTTGAAGGAGATGCAGGTCTTCTTGCAAATGTTGGTAATTTGACTGGTCTAGTACCTTTGCTAACAGATGTCTGGAAAACAAAAAGAAAAAGAATTTTCATCTTTCCTGTTTGAGCAAAACAAAGATCAACCTTCAACTGCTATTTTATCATAAGTTCTGAAACTTCCACTGAAGAACAAAAGGGATATCAGAAATAACCTTATTTTACATATACAAATACATTTAGTATATATTTATATAAATATGTATACATTGAATAGATATATATATTCAACAAAAGAAATGACACAATAAAGGCGTTAATTCTCCCTAACCTTTGGCCAACACAAAATGAGCATATAGAATGCACCTGCAATACAATATACACAATATTACGAGCAGTGGGGGGAAAAAAAAATTATCATGTGCAACTTCTTTCCTGCAGAATCCCAGTTTTATCTCTCCCATCTTACAAAACAGCTACCACCTACTTCTCACCCATCATACCCCTGTTTCTTACTAAGCTGCAACAAGTGACATGAACTTTCTCTCCTCCAGTTGCATTGTCATATCCCCTTCAATCTAAACGTCGACCTGCACCTTTTTATTGACTATTGTTAACTGAGGCACTAATGATCTAGCTATATGCTAGCCAAATCCTCAGCCACATCCACACCCTACTTCAATTATTTTGTTTTTACACCACTGACCACTGCCAACCATCTGACACATGGCTCTTGCAGCTCAGCTTTTTCATGTTTCTTATCCTGCTGCTCAAATCACTTCTTCCAGCTCTGACTTACTAGGTTTCTCTCCTTCTCCCTATTCCCTTAGCAAACCCCTTCTTTCCCCACAGAAGGATCGATGGCTAGTCCTCCCCTACTTTCCATGTTCCTCACTTCATATACAGGTGCCAATTACCCACTTAGGTTATTACAAACATCTTTTTTAGGATGATGAACATTTACCTTCCTGTAATCTATCACTTCCCTTTTAATACTCCACCTTATTCCACCTTAATACCTCTACTGGTATTAAGCTAACTTTCACTCAAAAAAGGAAGACAAAAAAAAATTTCTCCTAAAATGTCTTCATTGTCCCATTTCTAGAACTGACATGAAATACAACTCTGGACTAGTAAAATAAACTCTTCTCTACACTTGGCTATTAGAGTCTAAAGTCAGGGGAGTAAGCACTTCTCCTGTTTATCCTACTAACTACGAAAGCAAAGGCTGTCGAGGTTGTTTTGCTTCCCATCTCAAGACAAACAACCTATTTTCCTTTTGTTTTCCATTTTCACTAAAAACATTGTAGAATCAGGCAAGCGCCTATAAAAAATATAACTTATTTAGATTTTTTCCCTTTTTACGGTACTTGCACTTTAAGGTTGTATGCCTTCAAGTCCACTTGATCACTAATTGCTACAATTTTATCTATCACTAATCTTTCAGAATGTTATGTCTGTGTATTTATGTCTCACTGATTATTTCTTCCCTCCCACCCAGTTCCTAAAAATTGAGAAAATTTCATTTTTTTCTTCTGCCCATAGTCTTCTTCCAAACTATAGCAGTTTCCGCCACACTCCAATGACTGTACCTACTTTGGCAACTAAAACATAGAGGTGGAACCAGCAGACACTTTAGCAGTTTGCAGCAAATTCGTTAGGGCTCAACTTTATTCTGGTTAACAGCAAACAAGTCATTTCATTTCACACAAAACTTTTGTTCTATTTACATTCCTTCCATAGAGATGGGTATTCTTCCTAAACAGCAGAGCTTAAAAGGACAAGCCATTACTCAGACAGTGGGTTTAAAGTGATTTCTCATCAGAAACACAGTGGGGCTCACCAGTCAGCACGGCCTGGACATAATACAGTACAGTCGTACACATTTTGTTTGCTTACTATATCAGAGTTCCCACTGCTGTTAAAATCGTGCTTGATTGCTCTTTGTGGCCAGGCAGTTCTCATCTGTTCAGCTTTGCCATCTTTGCTGAGTCGTGTTCGGTCAGAATTCCAAAGCTCAAAACTTGAGGGTGGTAAGAAAGGTGGTATCACTGCTTTCAGTTTATCGCTGGGCAGCCTGGTAAATGGAGCACTACTTCTCAACTGAGAGAGGGAAACAAAGAAAGGGAAAAAGAAAAAAGACTCTTCTTAAAAAAAGATTACTGGGAGCTGATGATGTAGTTTAAAAATTGTAAGTTAAATAAAAAGATGGAGACAAGTACATTTTTAAACAAAATAAAATGGAAACAAGACATAAAAGTAGTATTTGTGAAGATGAATAACACATAATAACAGAGAGAATCCAATGGACATTCTGACATCCGTCAGTATGCTCATTCATTTAATACAATGAATATAGTTCATTAAGTGGCAGAAACTGTCTCTTCCTTCATTGGGCTGAATCTTGCTTCAAATTGATTTTAACAGAAATGTTAACAATTCATTTCCAAAGAAATAACAAGGTAGTCCTCTCTGTATTCCCAGACAGGACACCTGGAAACAGTGAACAACTGCTTATTTCTGCTGTATGTGTTCTCCAGAAAGAGAAAAAAACAACACAACTGATTTGGCTCCCTGGAGTTCTGTCAGTCAGTCACATCAAAAGTTACTCAATCTTCTTAAAAAAGAACATAAAGGATAACCAGCCAAATTTTATGACATCTCCAGGAAGTAAGCTGTAGGGGAATTTAAAGCTACAGCATAACAAAAGAAGAAACAGAATAACACAAATAAACATCCTGAACAAAATATTTCATGGTTGCCACTACCAGTAATTTCTCACTTTCACACTGTACCATGTTCCATCCATGTCTTCCTCACAGCATACTGCTTGCCAGCAGCTACCCAGCTATTCTATCCAGTTTACCAATTCATTGCTGGCCATACACAGGTATGGGTAACTTTTGAAAAAAAGTCAGTACTTGTGAACAGCTTCCATACCATACTACTTGTAGTACTTCCTAGTCGAAGAACTACTGATAGATCACAGGCTGTGAGTTCCTGTCTAGTGACTATAAACAAATGATAGCTCTCTTTCTAAATGTGACTTGGACAGCAGGTAAAAAAAAAAAAAAAAAATTATGGGAGCTGCATGACCTTCTGAATTGGGCTGAACACACCAAGAACACCACGACATACCATGGTTGTCAATAATTCATCATCCTTTCCTCCTTTTGCAGTGTTTACACCTGAAAAATACATACATGATGTTTTATTGTTTACATGCTCCTAATTTTGTTCTCAAGAATAGCTTATTGTTTTCAAACATTCAACACCTTTACTCTCAGTAAGCACACAGAACCAAGATTTCCAGTGACACTGTCATATACCTAAATTAAAGTTAAGCCAATAGTCTTATTTCATATCACAAACTGTTGGGGTTTTGCATGGAGAGCTGTACAATTTCAGTAGATGTGCTTTATTATTTGGGCTTTCTTCTCAGAATTATTTATTTATTTGTTTAAATAAATTGGGTTTCATTACATAAATTAGTTTATGAAAGATACTAACAACTTTTGAGTGACCTATCTCTACTGTCCAATTTAATGGTACTTGCTACAGAACAGTAACATGGTTATATTAGCATTTTCCTGCTTAAATGATGCTGTACTCAGCACTCAGTACAATCAACAGTCAGGACTACAAACATCTCGCTATATATATACTACAAATACATTATGTGTCTTTTCAGTTATATTAAGCTAAATAAAAACTAAATCAATAAATTAGAAATAGTATCATCTTGACTATCCCACGAGAGCTCACTTCCCACAAGACAACTCTGATTTTACCACTAGCTTTGTTACTTGTGATCCGAGCTGTAGCAGCATCAAGGTTTCCAGAGGTGTCCGTATCACTCTGTGAAACTGCTTTTATGGTGGAATTTAATGATGGTTCAGGCTCATCAGGAAAAGGCACAAACTGATTGGAAGGAAATCCATGGCGCAACGTCTGAGTCAGCTTCAGCTTGCGAAATCGATTGGACATCCTGCTCCACCAGGACTAGATTGATAAGACGACACAACAATGTAGTTCCAACAAATAGGAAAAAAAAGAGGGAAAGAAATGTACAATTAAGTAAACCTTACAGCAGTGATAAATCTGTCAAGGAGTTTTGAGATAAACTACAAAAGCAATGTTAAAGTGGTTTGCAATTATCAACACAATCCTTCACCATACTTTGTATGCATAAGATTAATTTCTTTCCTTATTTTTCATCTGGCAAATGCCTTACAATATTTTTCCACACTATCTGGAAAGACAAGGTAGATAAAAGTATTAAGGCAATTTGAATAGGAAATTTTTACAGCTACGTGGCAAATATTTAATCTTCCCATTAACTTCCAATTTCACTATTCATTCTTACATTCTCTGGCACCAATGAACTGGCATGTATATTTTCTGCTTTTTAGAAGCATGCATAGAAGTTTATCTGATCTGCATGGAAGTTTTTCCTTAAGATTTTCAAAATCAGTGGCAAACTGGAAGAGTTCCGATGGCATTCCTATCAAGCTAAAGATCTAGAATCCATACAGTGCTGCTATACAGATAACTTAAACCCTGCCAGACTGGAAAGACTATAAACTAAAAAAGAGCAAGGCAAGGAAATATCAGCTGTGAAAACAACACAAACCTTAGGACTACTGCACCTACAACCTCCATCCATAGAGGTATCACATATATGGAAACTGTTACACAAAAGGACTGTCTTTGCTCAAAATAAAATTTATCCAAGTATTTTTACAGACTTACACGTTTTTTACAGGCAGACAGTGCAAGATGCTTCAAGTATTTAGCAGAACATTTCTCTAGACTATACGAGACCTATAGGCTATATTAAGAAGACCTGTGCAACCTGTATTAAAGATTTATGTGCCTTTCAGTAAGTCAGATTATAAATATCTTCTGATTGTTTCTTAGTAAAACTTCTTCCCTTTCTGGAACACTTTTTTAAAAAAAATAAAAAAAGTAATGTACAAGTGATGATACTTCATCAAGGCATCTTTACATTCTATCCAATCCAGATAACACACTTTCCTAGTTTACTCTTTATTCTCAGCCATTCCTTCTCACCATACGTATTCCCTTCCCTCCTTGGCATTGAACACTTTTCAACTGCTTACTGATATATGTCTTCCCAACTGTCATACAGTAGAATTAAGTAATACAAATTGTAAACTTATTCCCTGTAAATCAGTCCTTCTAGCAGATGATCATTAAAAAGATTTTAAATCTGCACAGAGCATTAGTAATGGATAGAGCTCTCAGTCAGACCTTTGTATCTCTTTGGAGCCATAACTAATAAAGATTTACATTACTTTCAGCAACAAAGACCTGATGGAAAAAGGCAAGAGAGACAAATAGTTCTGAGAAAGCAGTAACCCACACACAGTTCAGCATTTATTCACCTTCCAAAAGGAACTGAAAGGGCAAAAAAGTCCACCTAGTTATAACACAGAGTACAATGAGCTTACAAAAGAGACTGTTTGCACAATGTGGTTTGTTCACAGAAGCTAGCTTGCTTCTGTAACAAAGGTCACTTCTAAGTTTCTATCATCTTTGTTACTCTTCTTCACAGTGCTTCTGCTTCGTTAGCATACGCTCGCACCACAAACTAACCTGAAATGGGTTAAGTACAGCCACTATGTTACCATATATAAACCTACTGCTCTCCAGCAAGAAAGGAATGATAGTGGAGAGGTTCATCTTGTCCTCTGGTGTTCAGAGTATGGTGGTCTGAGCTCTGGAGTTTCCAGTCTGCTGCTGCAGAAGGTTGTGGCCTCTCCATATGCCCTACCACATCACACACCTACAGAAGCAGGAATAAAGGGCTTTAAACTCGACTGAAGCAGCCAAGTAACAAAAATGTATTTGTGGTTCAAAATAGCATCTGTCAAAAGGCTGAAATCTAGTAGCAGTGGGAAGAGGCAATAGTACCAAAGAACAGAAAAACAGTGTCGCCACTTCAGAAATACCTTAGACATTTGTAACAATATTAGGAATGAAAGAATAAGGGGAAGAAATGGAAATCTCTGCTGTCAAACAACCTTGATCTAAAAAAAGGAACCGAATGTGATAAATCACACTGCTCTAATACTGACATTGACAGTATAACTTGCTGAAGAAGCACAGGCAGGAAGAAAAGAGCAGAAATAAAATTTTTGCATATGGAAAAGGCACAACTTTGTTTTCAAGTCCACAAAATGGTGAGAAACAAAGCAGTTAACAATGCCTGTGTGAAAGGGGTAAAGAATGAGATCATGGTTGTCCACTACATAATCAGTAGGTAAAGGAACAAGGGCCTGTATTATGCATAAATTACAAATAAAAGAAACACACAACAAAATAAAAAGTCTACTAGATAATGACAAAAGTGATCAAACAGGAGACACTGAAAAGGGTTTGTTTTTTTTAGACTTCAAAAGCAGCTTACTTGTGATCAGATATTTTAGTATGAATACCATTAACAGGAGGAAGGTAGTAATATATGTGCATTTGCTTAACAGAGTAAGAATATTTAAATGAGCTTACACAAATTAAAACCAGACAAGACCGATTAAAATTACCCTAGAGTAATTACAGAAAACATGACCTCTGAACAAGTATTGATTATCTTCAAGATAAGTTAAGAGGATGGAAGAAGTTACAGAAAACAGGCCAGAGGCAAATACATAATTACCCTTACCCCAAAGAGGAAAATCTGAAGATTTACTGATCAAAAAGCTTAACTTGAAAGGACATCATTGAAAAATCTTGGTATGTCATCACAGCTCATAAGAGACAGCTGGCATGCATTTGTTGGGAATAAATCCCACCAAATCAATCTCTCTCTCTCTGACAGAATAATTGGTCAAGTGGGCAGAAGGGAGGAAAAGTTGTAACATAGCTTGACTTTACTCAAGCTTTTATCGCTATTCCATGTAACATTCATTGAACAACTGAAGAAAATATGGTTCAAGTAAAATTAATATAGGGAAAGCACCATAGCCAAAAAACATACTAAGGCACAAATTACCAACATTTTGATCTCAAACTGGGAGGACATACTTCATGGAGTGAAACGGGAGTTTGGAAATGTTCATTAACAACAGCAACAATGAAACGTATTTTGCACAGTCTATGGAAGACACCTATCTGGACAGTTTTGTGAGCACCTTAGATACTCTAAGCACTGACAAACTGACATTTTTCACTAGGGGTCAAGCTGACATGTAAGAAGAAGAAATCAAATATACAAATACAGAAAAGGAAATAAGTAGCAAAGCAGCTCTGCTAAAGAAAAAAAAAGAAAATCAGAGTCGTAACATACCACAAAGTAAGTATAGATGCACGGTGTCTTACTGCTGATAACAGCATGAAACACAGAACCATGCAAGTAGTTTTTGTATGCCACTATGTGATACTAAGACCCTAGTTGGAATCTCATGACTCATTTTGGGTCCCTCACCTTGACAGATACAATAAATTAGAAATAGTAAGAAGTTTAGAAAACATAACGGGCAAACAAGGAAATCTGAATGAATTGTTTTTGTTTAGTCTAGGAAAAAAAAAGATTGAAGAGAATATGGTAATTCTTGAAGTATTTACATAGTTCTTACAAAAATGAAGGTGGCCACCGAACAAGAATCAATCAACTTAATATGCAGCAAGACAGATATAAACACGGGAAAAAAATTCTGGCCGCAAGAAGCGACAAGCAGTGGAACTGGGTGCTGACGGAGACCATGGGACCAAGGGATCTTCTTCACCACGAAGAAGGAAGAGAGAACAGAAACTTCTGTCAGAGATGTTCTTTGGCACATTCATTCTGTCTCCCTACGTAAAGGCAGGTGAGCCTCTCGAGTTCCCTCTCATTTTTAGATTTCCATGACTCTGTAGACCCCACATCCTGTCATTTGCCCTGATCTAGACAGAAAATCTATGTACTGGCTGAGTCACCATTATCTTTAGTTTACAGTCCTGGCTCAGCACAGAGCAGTTGTCCATACAGAAGCACTGTTGCTACAAAACCTGGGAGAGGTCCCTCACTTCAGCACTCTCTTCACATGCTGGTCCAAAGAGAGATGAGTTTGATGACCGTCCTGTGTCGTGTGTCCCCCCCGCCCAGCCAATCTGAAAATGCCATTTCTACCCTCTCTGAACATTTGTAAGGAGAGTAAGATATGCAACATACTTGTGGTCAGACAGACTGGTTAATAAAGCATTAAGCAGTGATGGAAGAGGGGGGCTATATTGGCTTTCAGGTTATATAGATACAGAATATAATTTCTGCTGAAAAAGTGCTTGATTAAAACTTAACTTGTCAACACTGTAATATTTTGTAGTTTTGAGACCAAATACTTAAACACTCCACACATCAAAATATTAAATTTTTGTCGGTACTCATGTGTACATCTTTATCATTGACAAATCTTATATTTTTTAATGTCACTTCATAATGTTTTATGACCCTAATTCAAGCCTTTGTGTCATAACACTGCAAGAGTTGCAATCCAACCTGTTGTTGATCTGTATTCCATAAAGCCAAAAGCTGTTCTGACATCTCCCATCTAAGTAACTGCATTCTTAAATAGGTCCATCTAAATTGATACTCAAGTTGTATCATATTGAATAATAAAATAATCATATGAAAATAACCACTTGTTGCTTCATAGTTAAAACTCCAGAACAGATTTGAGCTAAAGTAGAACTTTAAATGGCCTTTAACATTCCTGTCAACATTAGCTTGGAAATTACCATGTGTGTTTCCAAGACCCTGATTATATTTATACTAAAAACGTGAGATCATGGACTCATGGAAATTCTGAGGTACACCACAATCAAAAATCATTCACCTACATAAAAAACACCGGCAACAACAACAAAACAAACTAATACTTCTTCTCTTTTGCAAACAGACAATGTAAGTTGCATTATCTTTGTTGAAGTGGCATGCACTTGTTCTGACTCTGTGTTGCTTCCTACTGGAATACTGACAGTTTCGAGTTAAGTGTACAGCATGCCAGTGGACATGCAAGCCTGAACTGCATGCTCTTCCACTCGTCGTATTAAAATCTCTGCTATGATCTTTTTACTTTTCAATGCCAATAGCCTATTTCCATTTATGGTTGAAATGAAGTCTACCCTTTGTCCTAGAGGTAGGCAAGAGATACAGCCTCTCAGTCTCTTGGACCTTCCCGCACAGAGTCCCAGGAGTATTTTCAAGTACATTACCAGAGCTTCAGTTTCCTTCCCACATCATCCTTCCTTCTTCTAGAGCCTACTAAATACCATAAAAGTAAAATAAAAAAAACTACCGCTGCAATTCCTACATAGAACAAACATATAAATAGGCAGTTTCTCACTATGTTAGGAGATACTAGCCAAATCCCTGTAACACATCCGCTCCAATTTCAAAAAAGAAAAAAAAATAGCAATGAGTATAAAAACAGTCTACTAAAACTGGAGTACATTTGGATTTTAAAGGCAGATCTAAAATTAAGATCATACTGGAAATTCAGTTCCAAACTTATGAACAAGGTACCTTCCACTACTTAATTGAGAGCTATTTCTAGGCACGGAAATGCTTTGATGCAAACTCTTTCTTAAAAGTCTTCCCTTTGCCTTGCCATCTGACAAAAAGAAAGCTGTACATTTCATAAAACCAGGAAGCACTGTCAATGAAGAATTCAGAACGCACGCCCCAAAAAATCCAGTTACATATTAGATCCAAAGTACTTCTTAACAATGACTTTCTCTGCTTCATACATTACAGGAAACAATGCATTGGTTATTTATTAAGAATGAACATATTTACCTTTAGGCCTCCTTTGTCATCTGGCAACATTGGGACATTTAATGATTGCCTGCTTCTGGAACAAGGCAAAGATGATCTGTTGTTCAGTTTGTTCTTGTCTTTGTCTACTTGCATGCATGCTGATGCCAGTAACCGTACAAGCTCTGTGTCTAAAAGAAAACAAATTAAAATAATGTTTAGTCCATTTTGCTTTCCCAAATTATGACTGATATACTGGCGCTTTCCCTAGAAATCCCGTAAGTAGTAACTGATCTACCTCTCAAACACAGAGCAGATGAATCCCCAAAACCTTCTTTCTTGACCCAGGTTTCCCATGCCTTCTCCCCACACAGTGGGCTGCAGTCTTACCATCACCTCTCTAAAGATCTTTCTCAATATAAATAAGTATGCTATTCAGTCAGAATCAGTCATGTGTGACCAACTGACCTGCCTCCTCTCACACTTTGTAGAAGTTAAGAACAATATTGTGATGCTGGCTTTTCTCACCTGACACAGAAGAGAGTAGAGAAAAATGAATATTCTTTCTTCAAGTGTAGGTTGCAGAAAAGAAGCTTGAAATTAAATCCCAAAGAGAAAGGAGATGTTCAACCTGGACAATGAAGGGACTGAAAAGACAAGGTAAGAAAAAAGGTGGACAAAAAAAAGTAAGAAAAAAAGAAATGAAGAGGAAGAAAAAAGAACAAGCATGAGATGAGGACAGGAAAGCAAAAAAATACTCTGTAAATCTGTATTTTATCCAGAAGTCAGAAAAGACTTTCAGAAGGGCAGACAGAACTGACAGAGATACATATATATATATACAGGTAACAAGACAAACTACTCTGTCCTACAAGAAGTTAGTTATAAAATAATTCACTGTATTTATTTTCTAAAATTTCATACTATTAGTGATATACTTTTGACAAAGGAAAGGTATCTGCTAGTGACCAAAACCACCATCAGTAAATACAGAGAAAACAAATACTAATTCCATCAGCAGTAGTGTTTTTTGGCTTCAGATAAAGCAATTCAGGTACCAGGCATGGTTAACAATAACAAGCTATATAGGCTAAACAAACTACAACAAAAACTAAATGTGTTTAATTGAAGTCTCCCCAAAACATGCTGCTTTTTTCTAAAGCACTCGCATAAAAACCACCTGAACCCTGAAGTGCAATTTATTCTCAGCCTTTACAGACCTAGTGGGAGCTTCAGCCAGGAGTTCACTAGTTTTGTTCTGATTGCACTTTCTTTGTCCTGTCCCTTTACTGCTGTTTACTGAGTGGGAATTTCTAGATCCAGTTCATAGCCCTGTGCTACTGACACTACAGAATACCTGGGCCACCACAGTCAAATGCCACTGAACTGGCTCTGGTGACACAAACAACACATTTTGGAGCATCTTCAAAAACAAAGGCAAGAAGAATGCACAAAATCTGTTATCCCATAAATCTATACACTCATCCAACCAATTAACTTATAACCCACCATTTTCAGGCAGTATCCTTTCTTGGTCCAGTCCAGCCCAGACCTCCTAGCAACTTTAATGTATATTCTAGATTGGAAGGGATGCTTATCTGTTTATATTGTACATTTCCTCAGTGCTCCTTGAAATAACATACCTGGATCATTCAGCAGCATTATCAGGTCAAAAGCAGTGTATCCATTTTTTGCACGAAGATTGACATCAGCTCCTTGATTTAACAAATACTTTACAACGTCTTTGTTTCTTTAAGGGAAGAAAAAAAGGCATTGCTCATGTTAAAAAAAAAAAAAACCCACAAAACCAAAAACCTAATACTCCATTTTCATCCTTTTAAACCATTGCTCCTCAATTAGAGATCAGAGTTTTACCTTTTCTACAGCTAACAAATTCTAAAATTTGTTTACGAGCTATTCAGAAGCTCCCATGATTCCTTTGTCAGTCACTGTTTACTCACTAAGAATTACACTAATCAACATGCAGAAAGCCAGCCTAAAAAACCTAATTCAAATAGTCAGTTTCTTAAGTTGACCCTTTGGAAGCGACTCTGGAATTTGTTGCCAAACACCTTCCCAATGAAAGGCCATTAATGCCCAGGGCAAAAAAGCAGATGGAAAGACAAAGGTCAGTCCAGTAGTCATCATATGACATCACTAATACTTCAACACAACTTCATATTCAGAACAGGTAAGAAATTGCATACAGAAAAGCCAGATTAACCGAAGATAATTTATGAACTCCAAACAGTACTTCACTTAATTAGAGATATAAATTACATAATTGAGAAGGCACATTATCACTTTCTTGAGGTGTTTAAAATGCAAAAACAATCAGCATTAAATCATAACCAACACAAACACCTTCCAACAAAAGCTCATAAAAGCTAGCTGCATAAAAGGAACTCACCATCCCATTCCCATTAGCCCCCCTCCCCTCTCATACACCTGAATAACTAAGCAGGACTTGCCTCCTGAGTTAAAAACAATACTGTAATTCAGCCTACAAAATAAGCGAACAGACAACAAAGCTAGGGAAAATATATTTAATACAAAACTCCTCTTGAGCAGATACTGACCTTGTATAAAAACAAACTGATACGCATAAGCAAGACAGAGCAAAAATGTTCTTAAGTAGCAACAGGTGGCTGCAAACTCTAATACTGAAGCTGACAAACAGGTCTCAACCTCTCCACTTCAGAACATTACTTCTTATCGTACAGACGAAGTTTTCACTTCTGAACTCACTCCACATAAAATCAGCCTAAAATGGAGAAGGAATGTTCCTCCTCTCTTCTAATGAAATTCTGCTTATCCCCACCACAGCTCCTCTGCATATTTCCCATTATTTTTCTTCTCTTTCTTAAAACTGTATCATCCCCCCATCCTGCCTTCCAGTCCTGCACCTTGAGGGCACACAGAGATGCAATCCTTTAGTGCCCCTGGCTCATACAGACCTTGCTCCCTCCTTCAAACCAGAGACCACCCACACCACTGTTGCTCCTGAGAAAGGGTAAGCTGAAGCTCTGTGGAGGCTAAAGATTTCCAGTTATTACGAAAATTTGCAACTGGCCCATGCTGACTAGGAGAAAGACTAGGATGCAAAGGATAGAATTACAAGGGTAAATATTCATTCATGCACATGAGGTATCCCAGATACATTGGGGCATCCTGAATGTGGTTTTACACATGGTTCTTGTACACTTCGAGTGTTTAGGTAAAATACAGTTTGACTGATCACTAACACCCATGCTACCAATTACTAATCACAGTAAAACTTTGCAAAGCAAATGTATTTCTGCAGCATTCTTGCCGCTCGTCTATTGATCCAGACGTCCCTGGAGTCAGTCTTGCTATCGTTACTGATCTATGATGCCAGACAACACTGGGAGGGTTTCAAAGACGTGTTAGAAGGGCTATGATGCTGGCATTATCTTGGTTGACTAGGGATATCTTTTATCCTTCATGGACAGCTCTAAGCTTCCAAGAAGCCAAGTCCTTATTTCCAGGGCTGGGATGTCCTTCTGGTCCTTCCACTGAGCGAGTGTCCTTCAGTTTGTTTTACTTAAGCATTAACAATACCAAAATCTCCAGTAAAATTCCACTACCTCAAACATGAAGAGTATTTACAAAGTTAATACAATTTCATATTATAAAGACTGACTGATATAATAGGGAAGGGAATCTTCATAACACGATCCTCCAGGAAACTGAAAGGGCAGCATCTGAACACACGCAGCACTCAGCTGCGCTCTGTGCTTCCACAGATAAAGAGGAGTGCCTGAGCACTGGCAAGGGGACATGCCATCAGCCCTGCACATCACTTTCTGCTGGCTGCTTCTACTCCAGCTGTGCACTGGGGTGGCTGCGAAATGGCCGTACCCAAAAAAACTGACCTTCAGGCACTTCTGTGAAATGCTTATTGCTACTATCAGTACTGCATTGGTGAGGAAGCAGATAATCTCATCTTATGTAGGTCCCAGGAACTACTTCAGAAAATTTTCACAGAGCAATGACAACTTGACCTCCTATTTTTTCCGTTTGTTGCACTTTCATAGTCCAATGAGATCTGCTGACTAAAAATAAAAGCTGGAGCAGAATACCTGCATTTGTACAATTAAAGTGAGCATTACCAGGCAGTGAAGTGAATCTTCACCTTGCTGAGGACCTCATCTACAACAATGGAGAAAAGTTCACCTTCCTAAACTGTATATCCTGTATTCAGACAATGCCAAGTATATGACAGAGGTCTCGTGAAGTACCAGGCCAGTTTCTGGAGTCTGACTCTTAAGTACCTACCTGCATGTATAAAGTAGCTTTAGAGAACATGACAATCAGTTCTCCAATGGGCACATTTCAGAAAACTCCATGAAAACTAAAGGCCGCATAGGGGAACATTAGAATGGTTTTAAGACTGGAAAATATGGCACATAGAAGGGTGATTGCCTTGAAGTCTCACAAATTGATGTAGGCCTACAACCCTGGCAGGGGGTGATGCTATCTTACAAAACACTAAAAAACATCGAAGGATGGAAGTTGAAATCTGCACCAACGCTCCTAGTGCCCGCCTGGAGCACTATGTTCCCAGAACTTACTGACCAAGATTCAGGTTCCCAAATGTGCCACTCATTCTGAAATCCAAACAGCATTCAGGTCTGCTCTGAAAGCTGCGGGCAGTGCAAAAGTTATGGAAAACTGAGGCCACAAGTCTCTCAACTTCTTCTAAGATCTCCCTGCTTCCAGAGTCAGTATTGAAAAGACTTTTTCTAATTGGGATGTAAGAAGAATGCAACTTCTGTACTGCTAGATCCAAAGAAAGCATGCATCTTACCCGTGGTATGTCGCCTGCATTAGTGCTGTCCAGCCATGAACATTATCCTGTTTGTCAATATCAGCATTTTTCTCAACAAGGAGCTGAACAAGGGGAAGCTGTCCAGTTACAGCCGCAATCATTAATGGAGATGCACCATCAACATTGGTAATATTGACCTGACTTGGGTCTTCATCAACAATCTCTTTAACCAGCTGAAAGTTTCCTGTAAAACAGTGATAAAACATAATTTACATGAGCAGCAGAGAACTGCATAGCCACTGAATTCATATGTATTTTGATTTGCTGACAGTGGTCTACATTTAGTGGAATTAGAAAAAATAAAGTACTAGAGCAACTGCAACACTAAAGCTAAATATTTGTACTGATCTTTGGTCTTTTAGTTGATCAGTACATCCTCCCTGGCTACGTAAAACTGTGGCATAAACACGAGGCACTGTTTTCCCTCATTTTTCCTACCTGTACACTTACAGTACAATCCCATTACAAGAATAATTTTCTGAAATTAACAACTAAGCTATAAAGGCTATATAAACTGCAGTGTATCCCACGTGTGAAGACATGAGTAGGGAGTATTTCTATTAAATTGTCATGAGATGATGTCGTGCAAGGAAAACTGATGCTGCCGAGACACCATGTATGAAGATCCCTGTTGCATTTCCATAGGCTGAAATCACAGAAAGCAACAATTTTAGAATCAAAGAGAGCGGGTACAAAGGCACTCTGAAAAGTAGTGGAAGCCATCCCTTGCCTGCGGCGATAGAACAATGCCCTATGTCACACTGACCTATAATTTCCTCTTACAAAGGTGGTTCACTGATTCTAAAAACTTCTACTGATACAATTCCACAACCTCCCAAGGAATTAATCTATTCCAGTGCTCAGCTTTCCTATATCCAGAAAGTTTTTTAATTCTGCCTCCAATATGTAAACTAAACCTCCAATGCAAAACTTTCCTTCTCCTTGCTCAAGAGTGATGCATTATGCCTGTCACCTTTCTAGTTCTTTAAAAGTGAACCCAACGTTCATGTTTCCACATCAAGAGGCTGGTAGTCACCGAGTTCTTGTCTACATTACGAAAACCAGTACAAAATATGTTATTGAATACATTTTAACCAGAATGTAGGTTTTTTCCTAAACCTTAATAAAGGTAGGAACAAGCACTTTTTAAAAATATATGAGGTAGTCAGGGTCATCTTAAGCAGAGAGCTTAAGCTCACCCAGCTCCCTTACTTTTTTCATAATATATGACAGGCAAAAAGCAGGGAAGAAACTAAGAGCAAAAAAAAGATCTCTGTGACCAAATATGTAATACCATAGGAACAGAGGCAAGAAGCAGCAAATCATCAACTGCCATGCAAATGGAAAAATTTTCACCTTTAAAAAAACCTTCAGATAGTAAACTGCTTCATGACATGAGCTGCCTTCAACTCAATCACAGGCATGAACATTTTCCTTGGAAAGCCAGTCAGAATCCCCAGACAACCCCTGCAGGCACTTGAATGCACTCACTGAAACTAACACCCACCCGCACCACCCAGCTAATTTCTCAGAATGGGAAAGACACAAAAGCACAGAACTACTTTTTTTATGTCCCAATTTAGTAAAAGACTGCAGGTGGCTTTTTTAACACAGACCTGCATCACAGGCTTTGTTAAACAGAAACCCTGGAACCTACAGACTCCAGAATTTACTTTGAACTCTTGCCTGGACACTTCTTAACCTAGTGAGTTGTTTTTTTAACAGTGCTGCCATCCATAGCCAAGTATTTGAGAAAAAAATAAATGGAGTATCCTGACCAGTATTCATTTGGCTCCCCCCCAAGACTCTTTCCAACACAGCACTAATGTTTATAAACCTCAAACTAAAAGTCACAGGGGTACAAGAAGGGCAGTTGAACTCTCTAAAGTCTAACAGACCTGAGGCCTTTCTAGGAAGAGGTTTTGGTAGCTTACGTATGAAGAGTCAACATTTAAAAGAGAGGTCCCAGTACTACTACCTATCACCTCTTTCTTTTCCACTATTACATCTGCCCATTTCCAGTTCTGGCAGCCTGAAAAGCCATGAAGTTCCTGAGATGGTGACAACTTACAACGGTTAATTGAAAAGCAACTGTTAAACTGTTGTACCAAACCCAGGATGAGATCTGAATGCTAAGGCCAGGCTTGACCATTTAAAACACACCTCTAACTTTTCAATAGGAATGCAGCGACAATAAACCTTCAAAGATAACTGTCAATTTAAATATGCATTGCTGAAATCCATTTGGACAGATGTTAAGGAAAAAAAATGGTATTTTCCTTCACAAAAATCACTCGTTTACAAGTAATAATAATAAAAAAGATCTAAAAATCCATCAGAAGCTGTGAAAGTTGGTAAGTCAGAGCTCTCTTCAGGTTGCAGCTCCCTGTTGAAAGCAAGATGGTGAACCACACCACAGGCTTCATCATCATGTTACAGTCAGGAGTGGGTATATGGACAAAAAAGCTGAAATGAGGCAGTTGTGCTCAACCCTAAAGCTCACTTATTCTGTATGCACATACCACAGTCAGGAGGGGTACAGCCAGCTTTCAGTGCACTATGACCAGATTTTCTATGCCACAGACACAGAAAGCACAGCCCCAGTAAGGACTATTAGATCCACTGCATGCACAATGTTGTATTACCAATGTTTCCTCATTGTCTGGGACATCTTAGTCCCAAGTAAGGGCAGGTTGACTGGAGAAGAAACAAGGTTCTTAGGTCTCATGGGACACCTCTCATGACTTCACTGGACATAAGATTCAATATCACATGAGAATGACATCTTCCAATATTTGAAAAAAAAAAAAATTAAATTGATCCATCAGGAACTTTACTACTGAGTGACTATTTTTTTTTCTGACTGTCTATATAGCTAGGACTGCTGACAACAGGCTAAATGTGCTATCATATAGCTGAAAACATATTTAAATGTCAAAAGACCAATTGTAAGAGCAGTAATCAGATAAGGTTCAAGTACTGAATCTCCCTAAACTGTCAAAGAGATTGCAAACAGTGCAGACTTTTCTGACCTGCGACATTATCAGAAACCTCAGCAGAAAGTGAATAGTCCTGTTTCCCATACCAAAGCCATCAGATAGGAAGCCTCAAGCCAAACCCATCGTTTTAGCACTTTTTCGTACACTGGAAGATCCAGGAAAATAGGTAACCAGAAAGCAGCTTGCCATCCACCATGGGTGCAAATTTAAATCAACAGGATGGCACCGGCTCTTTCTGTTTGCCATGGAACAGTTTTACCAGTTGTGTGCTCATGAAAGTCACTGTCGCTTATGAGAGAACATGCAAGATCCAAGACACTTATTCTTTTCTTGAAGCAACTTTAAAGAGCAATTACAATGCTCATACAGAGTAGAGGCCAGCATATTTTTGCACCAATTAGCACTTTTGTTTTCATACTTCAAGTTTATCAGGACGGGGGACAAAAAAAATCATATTAAAAGTAGAATGTTCTTGGAATAACTGGAACTACTAAATCACATCGTTTTGGCATGAAGGGCACAACCAGGAGTTCATCAAGATTTTCTCATGTTGGAACGTGAAGAGAAATAAATGTATTTTTAAAATGAAAAGAAAAGTAAGGAGAAAAACAAAGTAATGTGCAAAACAGAACATGTCTCAGTTTCCCATGTTAACAAACACGCTCTGAAGTTAGAAGAACCAGACATGGCGGAAGAGTCCTGACAGTACTTACCCAATTTCAAAGCATGAAAGACATCGGGTTGCCTCTTTTCTGTATCTGGAAGAGATATAAATATTTCTATTAGCAATCATTAAAAAAACAGAAATTTCTAGTAAAATCTTTACAGCAAAAACTGTTAAAAAATTTTACATAAAGGTACTATAAAACAGAACAAAGAAAGCACCGATAACCTTTTCATTCCCTTTGGGAAGCGTGACTCACCTGCACAGTTGTCTGTGCAGAGTTAAAGCTACAAACTATAATAAAGCACCAGTATCGGCTTTTGCCTTTCAACTTCCATTCTCTATCAGGAAATTTTATTTGGAAACTTCTGCGTTTCCTGCCTGGAAAACTAAAATTTCAATTAAAGAACCACAGTATGTTTCTGTGGTCTGGTGTAATCCTCTGTACAACAGCAAACACTCAAATAGTACAGGATTATTTTGAAAGGTGACTCAAAAGGAGGTTTACAAGATGTCCCATTTTTACTTCCCCTTCAGTATTGCCACGTTAATTTGTGAAGGCCACAAAAATAATAGTGATGACTTAACTACACAGCTTGCTATTTGTGCATTAAAAGATATCCTTCAGCTCCTGGATCATCATTCCCATAACAAGAACTGTAATTATTATAACCTTTAATATTTTGAGTGAAGGATCTTTCCTTTGACATACCTTCAAAGTGCTTTCAAACTGCTGACACTATGTAAGATGAGGAAAAGATAGTGACATATTTTGCACCTTCTACTCAAGCCAGAAAAATATATCCTCCATCTTCCAAAGCATTACTGACACTACAGAACCAATGGGGTAAAAAGATTTTAAGGAAAACAAGGAAACATCGAGAGATTTCCCGAGCCTGATTCTGCCATTTTTATGACAATAAAGAAAAGGTTAACGTTCATAGCTTAACTCCAAAGGAGGTCATTTGAAAATGCTGAACAAAAGCAATTGGTGGAAAGCTCCCCAAAACATGAGAAACTCTTATTTTAAGACTGGGAAAGAGAGCTGTGGGTCCTTCATTTTCTAATGCTTCAGAAACTGACCTTATAGAAAGAGCTGTGTATGAGCTCACCATTGGAAAACAGATTTGAAAAGACTAGTTTAGAAAAGGCCCAGACTCCATACTTGGCATGTAAAAAGCCTGGAAGGGAGGCAGCCTCAGGGAGCAGGAGACCACAAGGAGATGCCAGAAGGAAGGACTGCCATCTGAGTAAGCTGAAGCAAGGACAGGGACAGAACACAGGCAACACCCAGGCCATTTCAAGTAGTTCTGTTACTGAAAACAGCCCTGAGAAGAGAGTTGCTTTCTTCTGGGAGGCAACGCACCGTATGTATGGCAATGGATCAGAAGACAAGTTCCTTTTCTCTTGCCTTCCATATGAGAGAAACGGTCTTTTTTCTTCCCAGGATATGCAAGACTCCAGTGCTAGGAGGAGACTGAAGCCATGGTCAAAAAGCAATGCAGAAATTTGTGTGGAAGCTCAAACATTTTTACCCCCAATTAGTTACTACCCTTCTGCTGATGGAAACTCCCCCTCAGCAGAGGTGACAGGAACACTCACCCACTTTAACGCAAGTCCACTCTCCTAGCTTAAACAGACTTCTCAATACTTCAAGTCGTAAGACTACAGAAGACTTTCAAGACTCATCAGGCCAACTCTGCCTGCACATACATTATGTGCAAACGCATGGGCAATGTATAAAGCACTGCGCTAGTGAATCCCACAGATGTCCGATTCTCTCTCTGTACTGTAATCAACTGATGTCTATTCCTCAGAGACTGGTCATGAGCAAATGTCTGCAGTCAGCCGGTTCTGTCTGGCAGCGTGGCTGTATGAACGCCCTAGCTCCAACTTAACCTATGAGTCAACATCTGACTAAGCTAACACCTTCTCTGAAGCAGAAATGTCAGATTTTTGTCCTTGCTTCTTAAAGTACAAGGGAAGTTTGACCTGCAGGAATGACACCAAATTTAAATAAAAATTAACAGTTTGGGGGACTGTGGACATGTCCACATGGCAGTGTAATATAGACATAATTAGATAAGATTTAAATAAGCCTATTTGGGTATCACAAGTGGCAGAGAGCTTGGAGTGGACTATCCTACCCTACAGGCTTTCTGCCACCATGGCTGGATGGGTGGTAGCACCTGGAAAAAGTTCTTTCTAGGGCTAGCCACATCCTCAGACTTCATAGCAAGTACTCCAAAGGTGAAAAATCCAGATGCAGCTCTTCCAAACCCTCTTGTTAAGCACCTCCCAGCGCTTGTCTGCATCATAAAGCACAAATACCTTGAAAAGTGTCCCCAGACAGCCACATACAGAATAAGGACTCAATCTCTGAAATGACTTATTGATGTTCAAACGTCCAACACAATGTCCAAACCAAACAGTCTGATTTCAGGAACAGATTTAATGCATTTCTGTTAGCATAAACAAACTTCTGGAGAAGGAAAGAGAAGCAAATCCACAATACTTTAACAAAACTAACATTAAGACATTCATAACGTTTTTTATAGAATCAGCTTGAAAGAAAAGCTAATTTGGAAAGATATCTGGGAGAGATAACCCCAATAAGTAAAAAAATTTTAAAAACTAAATTCATTAACATTTCAAACTGCCAGGTGACAGCAAGCAGGTTTAGCCTTTATCTTCAGTAAAAATAAAAATCCTAAGAAATTACATATAAAAAACTGTCAACAGAATACAAATTTGGTTAATAATTTAAAAAAACTTGGAAAATTACTGGTGAAGACACACAATATACTATTCCGTCCTTTTGGTTGAGTGTGCAGTACTGTATTTACTGGTTAAGACTGAAGAAAAAATGTTGTAGTCTAAGTTTGCTCATGCCTTCCTAAGCCTTCAGATCACCTAGTACAAGATATTACCTCTCTCTACAAAATCCTGGATTTCTTATATCCTTCCACGCTCATGGCTAAAGCTATGTGACAACCACACATCATTTAATTACATAGTCACAAAAGGTTTCTTTATCAATTCTCTTATCTCGTTCAGTCCACATAACAAATGAATTAACAGGGCAAAATTAAAAACCATACAAGCAACATTTCTTAACTTCATTTTACTTGAGATTTGCATTGAAGTAATGTTATTTTAATCTAGTTTTGTACATACACGAGCACAGAGTGTGTGCCCATGTGTGTGTGCACACACAAACAGGCATATTGACATTTGAGGGGAGGAGGTTGCTTATAAATTTGATGGAGTCCTGAAGTTAATTAAATATTCCCCTCTCCTGCAAGGAACAGAAAAGTAGGGGACATACTGACTTGTTATTCACCCCCATTAATACTTGGTTTTGTTAGAAAACACAGTCCACTATCAAAAGACTTTGAGGAGGTTTCATATATTAAGAGAGTGCTAGAAGAAAGCATTAGGTTAACCTGATCTGGCTTTCTGCATGTCACAGGCCTTGTACACGACACTCAGTGAAGACAATCCGATGATGAGAAAGGCATTTAACCCGGATTGCAAGTGTTAAGAGATTGCACACCTCTACTAAGTCACTCCAGGTCTAAGCTTCACTGCAAAACATAGTGCCTTATTTCCCATTCAAATTCTTCTGACTTTAAACTCACAGTTTTTTCCTTTGGCTCCCATACAAAAAGGCTCTCCAGTATTGGACTTCCTGTCCTTAATGTGGACGCTTTATTAATCACACCTCTTAACCACCTCCTCATGAAAGTAGACAGACTGAACTTCTTCAGTCTCTCCTTACAAGGCAGGTTTTCTAGATTTTGTAAGTTTTAGGTTTTCTTTGAGTCTGCGATAACCCTTCTTTGATATCCTATTCTGGTTTTGATGTCCCTTCTTTCATGCCATTGCAAGTAGGTCTTTGTAATTTTCTCCCTAAATGAGCACCCGGATCATGTGTTTTAAAAGCAAAAAACATTTAAAACATTAAAACATTTTAAAGTGTTCCACATGATTTTTATCACAGGACAGGAATCTGGTCATGCTAACGTGGAGGAAATCTGCTGAAGTTTGGCATCCCTGCCTCACCCGAGGTAGGTGTACCTACTCCCAACATTTTCAAAAGAGTCTGGTTACAGATTGTAAAGAACATCATGTACATACAAAATAACCCCTTCAACTTCTAAATATGCAATCAAAACTTCAAGAAAGCGAAACAAAAAATGCTCCATACCTGCCTGGGGTCTGATCGTCGTGAGAGATTCCAGGTAGTCCTTCATGTCTTTGTGTTTGAAGCCAACAGAGATTTCAAAAGGTGTTTTATGTAGTACATTCAAGTGATCAGGATTGGCACCTTTCTCCGTGAGCTGCTGTGCCAAGCTCACCTTTCCGCTAACAGCTGCCAGCATTAAAGGACTCCAGCCCATAGTCTTCACAGTGTAATTACAATCAGCTCCCCAGTCTAATAACAGATGTACCACTGCCTCATGTCCATGCTGAGCAGCTGCCATTAGCGGAGTGATATCAGGAAGGTCGTCTCTGCTGCTGCTAAGTACGCTAGTGCTAAAATGGTCATAATTGTCTACAAAAGCTCCAGATTCCAGCAACAATTTCACCATGCTGACGTGGCCACCTCTGGAGGCCATTGTAAGGACACTGGCTCCTAACTTATTCTGTGCATTGAGATCAGCACCATTCTCCAGCAAGATGTGAGCCACGCTTAGATGTCCAAACCTTGAGAGAAAGAAATAAGGAGGAGAATTAACACCTCAGATGGCAGAGGCTTCTCAAAGAAAACTGACATACTCTGAACATGGAAAACTTTGTTACCAAATTGGCCTATTGACTAACATAGTATGTAGGATCACGCACGCACCACTGAATGTGACAGCAGTGACCTTACAGTAGGGGAGCAATCAACAGCTGATGCCTGTAAACTAAACCATTCCACATGTACCAGTGACCATGCTCATAAACCAGGTACCAATTTAAGAGGATGTTCTGGCCAAAGCAGCAGTGTGCTAGCCTCATTTTCAACTGCATAACATCAACACGTAACTTCCATAAACCACAGAGTCACTTTCATCCTCTTATTTCCAGGCCTATATTACATTCAGGAATCAAAGCCAGTTTGTTTGCAGAGATCTTAATGAAGTACCCTCATTACTATTGAACAAGTAGAAACTTCAAAGAGTCAATGCTAAAGGAAAAAAAAAAGGACCATCTTATGAACTGGATAGCCAATCTTTTCTATTTGTATCATCCCTTGCTTTCCAGTTGTAAACCATCAACAAACGCCCACAATGGAAGAAGGCTCAGAGAGGACAGGCATGCACCCATGAAGCTCAGGGAAGAACATAGTGAGTGACCACAGCTGCTGTAAAGAAAGCTCAACTTCTCTCAACACAAAGGGGACCAGAGGGTGGCCTTTGTTTTAGAGAAACAGCTCTATCAGCAGAGTGGGACAACTCGCTGTGTGAATGGCCTTCCCTAAAACAACTGATAGAAAGTATTATCCTGCTGAGTCAGCCAGATCAGCATGGGGGAAGCATCTACACAGCTCAGCCCAACACAGCACCAAAACCGAGCAACCCACGAAATCAATTTTGAAGACAGCAAGGGGCTTGAGCTGGCTTCCAGCCACGTATTCCTTCCCAGCAATTGGCGATGCCCAGCACCATGATGTTGAGCATACAGGGACTGGTTAACAGGCATGCTGTCTGTCTTGTGGTTCAACTGTTGCAGTTGCTATGTTAGGCTTGTGTTATGATTTCAGGAGATTGCTGTATCACTAGGCTAAATCAAAATCCTGTGTAACGTCAAGTATCTTCCAATAAGGAAACTGGGTATTGAAGCATTATACCCTGCCTGTGTGGAATATCTAAAAGAACTTGGTCAGAGTACTGAACTCTGACACCAGTTTTAATGGTACCACTTGACTGTCAGAGGCAAATCCCAAAGAACTCTACTAACCACTAACAGCAGACATGAGACCAAACTCCCTAGTTTCCTTTCAGAAAGTACACAGTTGCAGAAGGTAGCCTCCAGGGCCTGTCTAAGTCCCTAGGTCTATGCTGGTAGCCTTCACTGCATCACCTCAGTAGAGCCTGCAACCACTGTACACTTGATTAATTTTATGCATATATGCTATCTCCTGTCCAATTTCAATGGGACTAACCACAGCCAGAAAATTAAATGGGTACATAGTTCAAAACCTACGTTTGTACAAACACTGTGCTTCCTTTTTGGTTATCCATTAAAAGGAAAAAGAAACATGTTCTTCCACTTTAAGCTTTCTCTGCAGGTTTCAATGGTATCTACAGTACTTTTCAAATGGCAGCATGTCATTTCTTTAAAACAGCAAGAGGGTTATAGTGATTTGCGTTTATTGTTTTTAGAGAAGGAGCGTATGGTTTTCATTAAGGAAAAAAATATCTAAGAATGTTTCTGCAACTTTTTTCCTTTTTTTAACCTTCACAAAATAACAAAACTGTTGAACCTTGTCTTCCCTGTTCTTACTGGGAAGCCAGCTGTGTGACTCATTCTTTGGGAACTTTCTATGGGCTTTAATTGAAAAGAGAAATGTTGACTTTGAAATGGACTCTTTTCTTCCAAGTATTTTAATTTGTTATGAAACAAGAAAAAAACAAACCCAAAGAAACGTTTATCCTCTCAATTAAACACTCAATTACAGGAAAACACTGCCCTTCAACCTTGCAAAACACATCTGTAAACTTGGAGGGTACCTGTATATATGTAAAGATAAGCGCAAGCGTGAGCATTAGCAATACGGGAATCTCCCACAACCCAGCAGCGAGTTACATGAAGCACACCGCCGCTGATGCAGAAAGCAATCCAGTTTTGTCATTAAAAACCTCAGCAACGATTTTCCCATATCCTCCAGTGAGCCATTTAGGAAAATAAGGAGAAGCCAAGGGAAATTAGTTATTTCTGTGCGCTTCAGTATGTTTTACGTCAGAGGTGACTTTTCAACAGGTAGGTAAGACACACGCGTACCCAAAAAAACAAAAACAACCCAAACAAACAAACCCAAACAACAGAAAGTGAAGTAGGCGTATGCATATATCTTATTTCCACAGAAGGAAAGAAGGGAGCGGTGTTTTCATGTTCAAGGCACCCCTGACTGCGATTCTGCACTGGCTTTACCCAAAAAACTGCCTGCAGAGTTTCAGCCAACACACCTTTACTAG